AAGAGCGTCCTCTCTTAGGTTTCTTACTCCCGCGCCCGGCCCGCGTTAGAGGGGAAGATTAGCAAAGCGAGAAAAGACAGAGGGGGGGAACAGCATCTTATTCTCTTCGCGAGAACTTCCGGGTCGGAGAAGCATTCGGAACGGGCTCCGCGTTCATTTCGTTGGCAGAAACGATCCAATCCATTCGGGGCTTCGGGGAACCCAAAAGCGAAGTCTTTCGACTTGATTCATAGATAGAATCAATGATAGATAAACAAAAGATAGATGAACGAGATATCTTTTTTTTTAGAGAAAAAAAGAGGAATAGAATAGACATCCCCTTAGATGTCTATGCATCCTTTAGCATCTCCCGATTTTTTTTTATATCGTTATATCTGCCCTCTCTCCATTTTTTTGAGAGAGAGCAGATGGATCCTATCCCCTATATCGAACACTAAATCCTATCTATTGATAGAAAGATCTTCGTCAAATACCGGACTTTGCCTTTTTTTAGGAATTCCTCATATCCAAGGCAGCTTACCACAAGCACCCCATACGACTAGTTGGGGGGGCTGTTTGATAGTGACTTCTTTCGTTTGGTAGGGTGACGAAAGGCTACTTCAATCTAGGAAACAGCCGGAAACTCGAGAGGGTCGCCTTTGGAAGCGCTCGCCGGTAACCAAAGTGTCACTCCTTCTTGATTATGTCGTGACGCTGACTGAATCCAATCCATAAGCCCGGAAACGAAACAAAGTTCGTTCCCTTTCGTTCAAGTAGGTAAAGTAGGCATACGAATCACTTTTGCTTTGCCTTAGACTCTATTGGAACAAAGAAAGAAGGGGGCGGAATGGAGAAAGGAAGGGGACAAGGGCGGTCTTGCTTGGCGCGAAGGCTGCTGGTTCGGGGGTAGGGTACGGTACTAAAGGTCCTCGGACTTCCAGGCGGTTTTTCTTTTGGGCAGCTGTTCACCGTTGGATCTCGCCAATACAGCCCCCTATAGTTTTCGTTACCGAGATATCTTTTTTTTTCATTGTTCCCAGGGATCTTTTGGGTAATCCGCTCCCATGCTGCAAACAGTCAAATCTGAACTAAACCTTGTTGCTCTTCTTTCTTTCCTCGCGGGCAGGAAGCACACCAGCAGCGTGCGTTGCGTGATTCTACTGTGTTTTTTGCACGGGTGGACAGTTGACCGGAAGATAACTTCGATTCGCCCGGCCAGCAGGCGGGCGGCGTGCTTATCTTGTGTGACAACACTACAGAGCGAGTGGCTCTTCTAGGCGGGCAGCTGTGCGACAACACTCCAGAGAAAGCGGCGCTTTCGTGTAACATGCTATGGTCTCAACGCCCTTACGAGGTAGTGATGAGTTTCACGCGCTCTAAGCCCGGCCCGCGCGCGGTTAGGAAGATTGGCCGCAATCTGAGCGGTACCACCCACCCTACCCTACCACCTATAGGCGGCCGTCCGTCCTACAGCCGCCCGAAAAGGAACTGCAGTGATCTTGAATAGGAATCCTACAGCGATAGATAGAATCCCCATAAAAATACCACTAGATCGAGCACCAGTGATTTCATATCCAGTCAAAATTTTGGCTAATTGATCGAAGTGGGTAGCTCCAGTAGACCCATAGATCATGGAACAAATAGGGTGGGTAGGCCCAACCACCACACTACACGTATAGACGCGAACCCCCCTCGTTACCGTACGTGCGACTCTCACCGCATACGGCTCGCACAAAGACTCCTAAATCCATCCCGAGCCTTTTCTTCCACCTCTCCTCTCCAATCCTCGATCAAACTTGCGTTCCCCAGGCGCTATGAAATGGGGGGGTCTTTCCTTCGCCTATCATATGTAGGCACGGCAAAAAAAAAGAGAGAGCGTCGCTCGGCGGGCCCCCCTACGCTGGCGAATGCCCCCTTTCTCTTCTCTGAAGTCTACAACAAGTGGGAGAGGCAGGATTCGAACCTACGTAGAAAAACTTCAACAGATTTACAGTCTGTCGCTTTTGACCGCTCGGCCACTCTCCCCTTCCCGGGCTGAGGCCCCCTCAATGGGTTCTAAGAAGGGGGCGGCGCCCTGAATCAAAAAAAAGCTTATTGATTTGATTGAAGGAAACTAGTACTATTTATTAGCTTAGCTAGCGTTCCGGGAGAATCTGGTCATTTAGTCAGTTCATAACAATCTCTGTAAAGCAAGGGGCAAAGCTTCGTAGACAGCTTCCCCCCTTCGTCGCTTCTGGCGAAGCTGCGAGTTCATGAGCAAGTGAATGAACGAGCCATGTTCCTAAAAGGAGCGACCATCCTTGTGTTTTCTTCCCTTCCCCTATCCCTTCAAAGCCCATAGGTTGGGCGCTAGCGCTTTACTAATATAATAGTAAGGCTCTTCCGCTGAGCGAAGCTGCGAGCCTACCCTTCTCGAGCCTACTTAAATAGCTTACGCTTACCAAGCCTAGTCTACTAAAATAGGGCTACAGCAAGCAAGCTTTTCCCCTTTGTTTGTTGTGGGTCGCGCCTCACCGCAAGCACTGAATGAAATGAGTGGAGATCTTCCTTCCCCCTTGTTAATTACCAAGAACTTCGTTGCCACTAGTGGCGAAGAATAATCCTACCATCCTACCCCAAAACAACTCTGAGCCTAAAGAGAAGAGAGTTCAGTCTACA